TAAGCCTCAGCAGATAGCAATTGCTCATTGGTCTATAGGATCTTTTGTCAATGAAAAAAAAAAAAGATCCATTCACCAATAGAGAGAATTCATAGTTGAACCAAAAAAAACTTACTGAATTTTATATATGTATTATGGCATTGAAATTGCTTCTTGACAATGCAAGACAATAGAGAGAAATAGTACAAAGTACTTTCAATGTTTTGGATTGGACAAAATTTGTGTTAGTACAAAATAAAGTGTGTAATGAATGACATATAGTACATGCATAGACTTTTAAAATTTGCCCCATGGTGTTCATCAGAGGCCTTAATTGGCAAAAAGAGATCAATACAATTTTAACAACATTATTAGAGTGATGACAAGCTTCATGAAGGTCACTTTCCTCTAAGTGGATGGGAGCACAATATTTTAATGGTGGTGTCCAATCCATTTTGTGTTCTCTCCGTTTCAGTTTATGCGATACAATTATGTTTTATTAATCAGCTTAAGAAAATATTTATATATATATATATATATATATATATATATATATATATATATATATATATATGAAACTAATTATTGAAAATATTTTATAATTACACAATATATGACATGTTTGAAGATTTAGTATGTTTCCAAATGTTATAGGTACATAATTTTTTTCCAATATTACAATATGACATATTTATAGAATTCTTCATATTTTTTTTTAATCAAATTTCGTATCAATATAGATTAAATCACATCAATTAAGATGGAGAAAGTGATCATTAATCTATAATACGTTACGAAACTCATGCTTTCTTCTTTTAATCTATCCAATCCGTATCAATAAATTCAAGATTTAGCTCCCGTTTCATAATAGATTTTGGGAGCAATTTTTCTTTGGTTAAAAACAATTGAAAATATTAATTGTTTATAGAAAAATCTCAAGTTTGGGTGAATTTCACTTTCATTCAAAAAATGTTAATTTTTCACAAATAAAATACATGTCCAAACACAATTTTCTTAACAAGCTTCAAAAACACACATTTCGAAGTTTCAACTAGATGTATTTGTTATGCAAAAAACATCTTTGAATATATTTTCACTTTTAACCTTTTTGTCTGGCTTAATTGTTTTCTTAATGGACTTATTTCCGGAAATTTAATTAAGGAAAATAATTTTTCATACATAAAGTAAGAAAAATATTTTTCAAAATCATCTTTTGAATTCATTACCTGACCTCGACTCGAGCATCAAAATTCAACCTTGGACACAACTCTCAATCCCCAACCCTGGCTTGGGATTTGACATCTAATCCCAAGTTGGGATTTGAAGTTAATTTTTGGGATGGGTTCAAAAATTAGATTCGGATCGAAAATCTAGTTTTGAATATGTATAGTACATATATTATACATATTATATGTATAGTAACAATATAATTTATATAAAATATACACTAATTATATATACATATTTTGCAAACTAAAGGCATTGACATTCAAAGAGGCAGGGTGTTACATCATCCACAGCCACAAGTGAGGAAATCAAAATCTAAACTATGATGGTAGTTAATAATAACTAACCACAATTTAATGTCTATGACTTTAGCTATGGATATGGAATGCCTAATATAAACATCACTTTCAACTAACTTGTTGATGATGTTACCAATTATTAGATTTGCAACTTGATATCAATTTCTCTTTTAATTACTATTAATCTACTAATTATTTACTTTAACTAGGTATTTGATATAAGAAAAAATATTAGTCTAGTTGATAAGGATTTATGTTAGACATGCTTATCATGTGTCATCACTTCTAAAGTGATTAAAAACTTTTCTTGACTATCGTGTTGTGCATTTTTTTATTAAATAGAAAATATAAATGTAAAAAAATTCTTTTCTTATAATGTTTGCTTTTGTTTTTTCTCAACATGTTCATGCTAAGCAACTTATATGTATATGTTAAATAAAATCGGACGGAATTAATTTATGTCCGAAATCTCAGAGACACACTTATATTATATTATTCAATAACAGAACGATCTGTCTTATTGAGAAAGATTGCCACCAAAGATAGTCAACTCGTCTTTAAGCTAGTTCTATTATAATAAGACTAAAATATATTGTCTTGTCTATTTAAAAATACAATTTTTATAAGTAAGTATATTTAACATAAATATCATATTTACATCTATATACTCCTTAATTTGGAGCATAAGTATCCCATTATCGATATGAGGATTATTAAATTGATCAAAAATCATCTTCTCTATATGATATCTTACAAAAAAAAAAAGTTTGTAAGACTTCACCTTCCTTTGAATTGTGAGCTTATATATCATATCACTTCTACTACTAAACAACTAAATGATTTTGTGAAGTTTATACAAAAGAAAATCTAGAAAATAAAATAAAAATGTCTTCCACTTAGTGATGACAAAAATTAACCAATTAATGTCTAATATTTTTAGATCATTACATTCAAATAACAATTAATCATATATACATATCGACAATCATGCGCTTTCTCATACGAAGGCTAACAGTCACGCATTTAGACTACTTCTCGATTTTATCATTTCACGTAGCTTATATGTTCCTTCTCATCGAGTTTCTTCAATTTTTTATAGGCATCGTCATCGAGCCTTTCAAGCACTTAAAAAATGACCTATCACCTCTTGGTTGGAAACTACTACTTCAATCATAAGCTAAAAGGCCTTTATGTACGTGTTCAAAATCATCACTATCTTTATCTACATCACCGATATAAAATTGTTGATTTTCTTGAACCAAAAATTAATTTTAACTTTTTGCATCTAAATTCTATTTATGGCGTATTAGCACTAATACTATTGATTGTTTCTCTTCCCTAAATAACATGTAATGCAATGAACCTATCCAAATTATCTCTCTTGGTTCAACAATACTTTCCATCCAATTTCTATTTTTATATATATATTTCGTAATATCATAAATTTATATCGTATATATATCCATTTAATTTTTCTCTTTTTAGAGTATTCACTAATTTCATCGACTTTCGATGTCAACGCACCCCACACCTAACATAAACTCATTAATTAATTAAATGTGCAACCATTTTTTTCTTCTCTGTCTTGGGCAGATTAACAAGATTATTGTGTGGCTAGAACTTGCAAGTGTCACACCAATATTGTCAAATCCTTAAAACACAAAATAGTACGTCACATTTGTCATTAATTTTGTCACCCCCCATAATTAGTTTCATATTTTTACTACTATATAGTATAATTAGTAAAAAATCACTTTTACAAAATCAAAAACTTCACTTCACCTCCAAAGTTGAGTAGTGCTACTCTTGGGACAAATATATATGACCCACCATATAATAATCTCCAATGTCTCATCAAATGTAACTTCATGCCACTTTCTCATGTGAAACTCAAAATTTGTAGCAAGTTGTGAATTTTAGTTCTAGAAACCTTATAATATTGAATCATTCATAATTAGGTAGGAATACTTGGATAATGGTATTTTATATTAAGAATGTAAAATGGTATTTTAAGAGTTGTATGGATCGGCTTTCGCAAGCTTCAACATAATACCTGTCATCTCCCATCAACAAGAGGTATCAGGTAATTAAGGAGTAACCTCTTATCACCAACATGTACCAAATAATTATATCTACTAGAATTAGGACATATAAGAAGAATATAATTTTTTTTTGTCTCCACTGAAATTTAAATTTAATACCTCATGACTTTCAACTACTTCATTGACCAATAAACAATACCCTTAAATACATAAAAACTTTATCTTTTATACATGATCTTGATGTCTAGACCAACTGAATTGTGTTTTAACTAAAGTTCCACGAAAGTTGAAAATTTAGTAACTGTATTTCAATCTTAATGTGATTCATAATTGAGAAAAATTAGGAGGGTTGTTTTAATTTTAGACATGTATATCCATTAGAAAGACTAATTCAATTCATATGGATGTATCAAATCATTATTCAATTTCAAAAATAATTAAAAAAAAAACAAATATAATAAAGAAAGTTAGGAGTATTCCATTTTCTTTTTTAACCAATATATATTTCCATTATATCATATATATATATATAGTGGCTTTAGGTCTAGGGTATATTTTAGTAATATTGGTTTTTAACTTTTAAGTGGAGTCTACTTCTTTAGTTCCACCCGGCCCAATGAGGCACAGTCCAACCCAATGCCAACCATAACTACCTCTTCTAACAAATTCAAAAATCTTACCAAACTAACATGTTTTATTATTAAATATATATATAAAAAAAAATTAACTCCTAATAAATATATATTTTCTATTATAATTAAACAAAATAGAGAACTCAATAACTTTTTAACTCATTCGAAAATCAAGATTGTTTTAAGATTTTATGCAAAAGAGACCAACTCCCTCAAGGATTTAAGTATAAATGAAACACCCAATAAGCCCTCACATCTCTCTAGTATGACACATATAGTGACGTGTGTAATATTGGACAAAACTTTTTATTATTCTTTTTCATCTCTTGCTTAGCTAAATTCAAAATTCAAAATAGATCACCATCGAGAATTAATTGTGATTCTTTTTAGCTAGAGTTTCGAATGTTTACCGCTTTAATAAACGTATATCAAATAAATAAGAATTTGAGTTTTAGATTTAAAAAGAATAGACGTTATGCAACAACTAATTGCGATGTCAATACAGATATCAAAATAATTAAAAAAGAAAAGAAGAGTTATATAATATTGTTATTAATCTCCACACACACCAAGTATATAATGATACACACACATACACTATATATATCTATGTGTCCCACTTCCATTAATACTTTCATTGTGTCCGGTATATATAGAGTGAATTCAATTCATTTATTGATCATCTTCTCCCTTCCTTTCTTCTTTCTAATGAACCAAAAGGAATGTGTAGACACATCTACATACCAAATTCCACAATATTATTATTGTTATAAATTATAGATTTGAATCTTGAACAAAAAAGTGGATAAATTAAGAAGTATATCTCTTAATTAGCTCCACTTCTTTAGGGGCTTATCAAACTCCTATTTGTTCTGGATAATACTTTGTGACTTAGTCTTTTTTTCAAGCTAAGTGTTTTTAGCTCTCAAACTCCCTTGACCAATGAGTTTCCTCAATTTTAGCTCTTTACCTTATCTCCCACTATTCTTCAAATAGATAAAAGGGGATACAATACTTACTTATTCAAAATCTATCTATCTATATATATACACACACTCCTCATCTTTGATGGATTCTTATTTGAAAGAATTACAAGGCAAAACATCTCATGATCCTTATTTCAATCACCACAACAAAATGATAATGAACAAGTGTGTATTTGTTAATGGACCAGTAATTGTTGGAGCAGGACCATCAGGGTTAGCCGCAGCAGCATGTTTAACATCAAAAGGTGTTCAAAGTTTAGTATTAGAGAGATCTAATTGTATAGCTTCTTTATGGCAACTCAAGACCTATGATCGTCTTAGTCTTCATTTGCCTAAACAATTCTGTGAACTACCACTTATGCCATTCCCTCATGATTTCCCTACTTATCCTACAAAACAACAGTTTATTAAATATTTGGAGTCGTATGCCATCACGTTTAATATCCGTCCTCTATTCAATCAAACCGTAGTATCCGCTTGTTATGACCGGAATCTTGGACTATGGAGAATCAGGACGGATACTACTACTAGTAGTACTGAGTTTGTTACGCGTTGGTTGATTGTGGCAACTGGAGAGAATGCGGAGGCAGTGGTGCCTGATATTGAAGGAATGGAGGAATTTGATGGGAGCATAATGCATACGAGTTTGTATAAAAGTGGTGAAATTTTTAAAAGGAAAAAAGTGTTGGTTGTTGGATGTGGAAATTCAGGAATGGAGGTGTGTTTGGATCTGTGTAATCATCATGCAACTCCTTCACTTGTGGTTAGAGATACTGTAAGAACACCACTCATAAATCTGTCTCTTAGTTTCACACCGACTCTTCACTTTTGATGTCTTGCTGTATTCGTCTCGAATTCTTCACTCTTCACTTTTGATGAATCTGACATGGAGCTCTTTTTAAAGAGTCTGAGCAAAACATAGATTTTTATTTACTATTTAATCTATGGTTTTTAATAACTAAAAGAATATACTTTTTTTTAAATTATTTTTTTTGGGGTTTAATTTTCTTGGGACATTTTTAAAGCAAATTGATTACAAACTTTTGTTTGTATGTTTTTTTGTCTAAACAAAATAAAGGGAAACATGGTATTTCATTTCTTAACTTTATGTCAATTTCATTTGAGAAGAAAAGGTAAACTTTGTGATTTTTTATTTTTTTTTGGAAATTTTTAACTAATTTAGAGAGACATATGGAAAAAGGTCTAGGGGTAATTTCTATATGTTTTAAGTAGTTTTATTAATCTTGTGTTTCCTGAAAAAATTTCCTACTTATGTGGAAACAATGAGAAACCCTAGTTTTTTTATTTTTGGGTAAGAAAAGGGGATTACAATGTGATGAAATTGAAACCGCATACTCAGAGAATCAGCCAAATGAATTACTAAGATTAGTCAATTTATTTATATTTGTCATCTAATTTTTTTAAAAAAATTAAAAAAAGAAGACAATTCTCATGTGCTCAAAGTTAAAAAGTTGGAAGTGACTTCAAGTTCCAACAAAATTGATTTGTAAAGTTTTTTAATTTAACTAATTAAAAGATTTTGTTGTGTATTTTTCACTTTCTTGGAATTGTCAAGCATGCGCAATATTTTTGGTGGAAGCATGGACAATTTTTGTTTTCATTAATCATTAATAATTAATAATAATTGATTCCAATAAGGTTTTTTTTTTTTTAGCAACCTAAAAGTGAAAAAGTCCAGATATTGGCCATTCATCCAGAATGGCAACAATGGGCACTAAGCAATTAGTTGAATTTCTCATCAATTTTATTCATGAAAAAACTTTATTATTCTAACAAATTAATTTTGACTTTCAATTTTTTTTCTTAGGTACATGTCTTACCAAGAGAAATGCTTGGAAAATCAACTTTTGGGCTATCCATGTGGTTACTAAAGTGGTTACCTATGCGACTTGTCGATCGATTTTTATTAATTACTTCAAGATTATTACTCGGTGACACGTCCCGACTCGGATTAGATCGACCTGAGATCGGACCTCTCGAGCTAAAAAACTTGTCCGGGAAGACCCCTGTACTTGACGTTGGAACGCTTGCTAAAATTAAAAGTGGTGACATTAAGGTGCGTTACAAAAAAAAAATATAATTGATGGACTATGTATCAAATCACTTTTTTTTTTTACCTATAGCTTTTTTAATGTTTGTTGGGATCCCTTTTCTCATACTCAATCATTGCAAATATTCTATAAACAGTGTGACAAAATCTCTTCAAGCTTAATTTGTCCCAACATTTTATTTTTCTTCATTCTACTAGCATAAACCCCTAGGTTGTAGTATTAACTTTATTTTTATTTTGTAGGGATAAATTTTTGTTGTGATATAAATGATTGATTTTTAGTTGTTATATTATGTGTATAGGTATGTCCTGGAATTAAGAGATTATTAAAGCATCACACGGTGGAATTTGTAAATGGACAAACAGAAGAGTATGATGCAATAATCTTGGCAACTGGTTACAAAAGCAATGTGCCCTCGTGGCTAAAGGTACTCACTCTTTTTTTACCTTTACTAAGTTCCTGTCTGAACGTAGATTCTGAAGTTGAACTTTAAAAGCTTACGTTTTTTGAAAAAAACTTAAAGTTATATTTGGACACTCATGTTTTATGAGTTGAATTTGAGTACAGAATTTCAAAATTTATGATCAAACAGATATTTGGAGACAGAGTTTCAAAATCTGATTCAGAATCTACGGCCGAACACGAACTTTAGTAACTTGTTTCCCAAGGATGTGTTCGATGAATTTGATTGAGAAAATAGAAAAAGGAACTACGTATAATATAAGTCGAATTTTGTAAATAAATTTTTAAAATCTGATACAAAATCTATGACCGAACAGTGATTAAGAATCCATGGTCGAACGCTAACTTAGTTACATAGTTTCCAAAGGATATGATTGATAAAAATGAAAAAAAAAAAAAAGTATTGTAAGTTTCATATTAGGTTTTGTTTGGTTTGCAGGAAAAAGAGATGTTTTCAGAGAAAGATGGTCTACCAAAAAGGCCATTTCCCAATGGGTGGAAAGGAGAGTGTGGACTTTATGCAGTGGGGTTCACCAAACGTGGCTTGCTTGGTGCTTCAATAGATGCAAAGAAAATTGCTGAACACATTCATCAATATTTTCAATGAAAAAATATTTTTGATTTAACAAAATCTCCCCACACACACACCAAGGAAAAAAAAAAAATTAAAAGTGTTGGTATCAAAAAAAAAAGTTTCATTTTTTTTGATCCTACAAATGAAGAAACAAAAAAGAAAAAAGAAGATCAAGATTTTTGTGGGGATTTATCATCATCAAAATCTAGCTAGTAGTAGTGTATACACACCTTGTACATTTTTTTTGTTGTTGCCAATTTTCTCTTATTTTAATTATTATTAGGTATTATGACATTGTTAGGGGAGGAAAAAAAGAAGAAGGAGATTTAGGCTTTTTTTTTTGTTTTTGTTTTAATGAGTTTGGTTATATGAGTATTAATTTACTAATATTCATATATGTTTTTTTTTTCTTTTTTGGGGTTTATTATGACAACACAAGAAAAAGAAGATGATTTTTGTTTTTTTTTTTTAAAAGAAAAATATAATTTTTATTTTTATCATTGGTAGAATTGTGAGGTTTGTGATTTTCCAAGTAGGATTTTAATTATGGTATTTGCATGTCTAGTGAGTATATAATTAAATATGATAACGAAATTTACGTACCAAAATTCCCAATGATCAGAGCGACCTGTGCACTATCTTTATGAATTTCTGCCATTTCCTGCTGTGGTGATATCTCATTAATTTAAATACTCCAACTAGTATTTAGGACCACTTAATTAATTCATTCATCTGCTTCTACAAAATAACAAATTTCAAATTAATGAAAAACTTAACAATTACTACTAAAAATGATAAAATGACACTTAGGAATACAGAGTTAATTAAGATCTCGAGTATCTCATTGTAAACTCTTAGGATATTCATAAAGAGATCAAGACAGATATGTCATATCAGATTTTTCTTGATAATCAAATAAGTACTTCAAGAGGATCCACAAATTCATTCAAAGTACAAATCATCAAAATTCGAGACATACGTCACTAATGGCTAGAGATATCTTACGACAGAAAAGAACTAGAGAGTAGTGAGAGTCCAATTTCTCTATTTCTATGAGGTAAAGATAAAATCTGAATACATTCTATCATTTTCAAACTTTCCTATGTGAGATTACACTTAATCATTGTTATTACTACTTGGAATTGAATTTGATGTTTTATCACTTGTTCCAAGATTGATAATCCTTTTTAATCAATCAAATAGCAAGATTACATGATTTGAGATGAGGAAAAAAATGATTTTTTTTTTGTGTGTGAATAGAATAATGTGCCATAATCATGAAATTTAATTAACTTCCCTCTCTCTATCTTTTTTTTCCTTGTTGAAATTTTCTAAACAATTTTACAAGTCACATGTGTTTTCTTTTGAGATATATACTAATAAACAATATAATGGACCTTTTGCAATTCTCAAATCAAATCCAAATGGTCCCCCTTTCTTAAGTAAAGACCTTTTGATAAAGAATAGAGTACAAAGCAACATATAATTGCTAATTAGTTGCTTTCAGAACATGCCTTAAACCTTTTATTGATTGGTAAAACAATCACACCATAATTCAAATTCAAAATTTGGCAATTTTGTCCTGGTCATAATGTAGTTTGTAGACCAAAGGGTTTATGCCTCACAATCTTTGAAAATATAATTACGATTATATTGATATATTTTATTAATGATGAAAACAATGAAATACAAAATGAGGTAGCTATATATGCAAAAAAACAATTTATTGGAAAAGAAATTGTAGTTTGAAAGTCTGGAAATGAAAATTTTGATCAAAGTTAACATTTAGGTTGATGGGGTTGGATTCGAATTTTGACCAACTCTTTTATGTCTGAAGGATAACTTTTTACTTCGTTGGGTGGTTTGCACGGGTTTCAAAATGTTCGTGACTATTTTGAATCATTGATTGAAAATTTTAACCTTAAAGAAAGTCATGTTTGGCGAGAATTAACATTTGATCAAGATAATCTCAAATAGGTGATTTGATAATTTTAACAAGTCTCAAACATATTTTGTGATTGATTTGCATATTTAATTGTGCTTGAGAGTTTCTAGATTAATTTTTAATGTTGGTTTTGAGTTTTGATTGAAGTTTGGTGGTTGTTAGTGTCTGATGTCTAGCGTAGTCGCACTTGCATTGTTTTGTTTGTAATTGTGAGGTGTGGTTCACAATTTTCTAAAGTATGAAATTCTTCAATTGGAGGTTAATTAATAATTCATTTTAGCTAGTATCTTGTTCATAAGCGAGTTAATACCTCATATGGTCACTCAACTATGCATTCTTCTATCAGAAAGTCATTCAACTTTCAATTTTCACTCAAAAGTCACTCAACTATGCACTTCTTTCTCAGAAAATCACTCAACTTTGAATTTTAACTCAAAAATCACTCAACTATCCACTCTTTCCTCAGAAAGTAACTCAAGCTATTAAATTGTTTTTTTTAACTAAAATTTGTTGATATTAATTATTTATATAACAAATCAAAATTTTTTAAATTTAAAAATACCATTTAAACCATTTAGTGATCCACCCACGTAACCCGACCCATTAAAAAACATGATATGACCCATTTTATTTTGTTTTTAATCCTATTCAAGGTTTAAAGAAAGGGACTAATTTAGGATTAAAGATAAAATAAAATGGGTCATATTATATTTTTTAATGGGTTGGGTTAGGTGGGTGGATCAGTAAATGATTTAATTTATTTTTTAAAATTTTTAGTTTGTTATATAAATAATTAATATCAATAAATTTAAGTTAAAAAAATAATTTAATAGATTGAGTGACTTTCTGAGGAAAGAGTGGATAGTTGAGTGACTTTCTGAGGAAAGAGTGGATAGTTGAGTGACTTTTGAGTTAAAATTGAAAGTTGAGTGACTTTCTGAGAAAGAAGTGCATAGTTGAGTGACTTTTGAGTTAAAATTGAAAGTTGAGTGACTTTCTGAGAAAGAAGTGCATAGTTGAGTGACTTTTGAGTGAAAATTGAAAGTTGAGTGACTTTCTGAGAAAGAAGTGCATAGTTGAGTGACTTTTGAGTGAAAATTGAAAGTTGAGTGACTTTTTGAGAGAAAAATGCATAGTTGAGTGACCATCTGAGGTATTAACTCGTTCATAAGCTTTCTACCAAATATGTTACACAATTCTAAAATAAATTTTATATTTGACCTCAGAGGAGGTAGTTGGCTTTTTGACTTAATATTTAAAATCAACTTTTTACTCACTTGCAAGCGAGTGTATTGATACATTTTTCCAACTCATCAATAGCTATATATGTTGGATCACTGGTCAAAAGGTATCAAATATTGTATTTTAATAAGTTAAAGGTCTAGTTGACAAAGTCTAGAGTAAGAGGATTTAAAATACAATGTCTTACGAGTACAAGGATCCATCAAACCATCGAATTGATAAGGACTCACCAATATTACTGCTAGCTGGTCAGAGATAGTACTAATCGCGAGCTGGATAATGAGAGTCAGAACCTACATTATAAAATAATATTGGTAGAAGTATGTGATTAATATTTTGAATGTACTGAGTATGTCAGATAATGTATTATAAGCGTAATATTTAAACATGATGAATTTGTAAAATATGCTAAAACAATTGTAGTGTTGTATTTCTTGTAAATTTACTTTTAATTACAAAATGATCATTTTACCTTATCCTTAGGATTTTCATGTGTTAAGAAATGGTTGGTGTGATCCTCGAAATGATCGTATATGATTTTGGTGATTTAATTCATCTTTACTTGAAAATTTTTGATAGGATTGATTTTGGTCAATACTTTGAGTTTCGAGCAGTGGGTGAAGATTTTGTCAATTCCATCGCGTCCGCAATATTGAGTTAGAGCTAGAAGGGTAACTATTAAGAATTTCAAAGCCTTAAGTTGAGTTTTGAATGTTTGAATAAGAAGTTAAGTTTCAAGCCTTAAAAATTGTTCTAAATGGGTAAATTTGTAGTTTGACATCTTTTGAAAATTTGGCGATTTCATTTAATATGGAATATTGAATTTATTGGGTGGGGGGGGGGAGGGGGTTATGTTTAGTTTATATTCATCAGACTCCAAAAGTTTTTAGAGAATCTAATTGAAGACTTGAACTTAGGCCTTTTTGTTGTTTTCACTTGTTTCAGAGATTAGGAGACGAGATTTTTGAAGGGTTGTTTAAAGAGATTTCTTGGGTTAGTATATTTATCAATTTCTTATCGAATTTTTCAATTTTTACCTTTTGAAAACATATTTTAATCATGATTTTGATATGGGTCTTGAATTTTATCTCCCATTTGAAATTGACATTTTCATGAGTTGGAGCTCGTTTCTAGCTTGTTTAAATGGGGTTTGGACCACGAATTGCTCTTGGCTTGTATAACTTGATTTTCAACTAAAACAAATAATTTTACCATCATGATTTTTGAAATGATATTTGGAATATTTTACCTTCAATTTCAAATTCTATCAATATGGACATCATTGAACTTATTTGATGAACTCTTTTCATTCTAGATAACTTAGGATTGTTTTGGTGATCGTGCGGTGGAGAGAGTGTTCCGAGAGAGTTGTTTGAGTGAAGTTTCTACCTTGAAATAGGTTTGACTATCCTTTTTTATTGGATTAAGATGAGTACTTAACTTAGTTCTAGAAAGTCAATAGTGAAATAAGATTATTATTATTGTTTTATAAGTTGGTAAGTGTTGGACACTTTGTTTCAATTCATATGATATCCGTTTATGATGTTTAGCCTGTGGGGAAGTTTGTGTCATACTGCTAATTATTGTGGGGAGTATGTTATTTGAGTATTGCCCGAATGAGGGGTTGTGTGACCTATCTTTATATTTAACGTGGAAATGCACGAGTAAGGGGCTTGGATTGATTTTTGAATCATCTTAAAATAAATGAAATGCTTTTCCGAATGATAAAGGGTTGATTTTGAACGATTTCTTTCACTATACCTATCATTTGAGAAATGTGTCATGACTTGTTAAAATTGGGAACTTGATACTATTTGAAATCATGATGAACTGGTTATGCCTTTGTGTTGTATGTATTGTGCTACATTCATCCTCATGTAGCATATCATGAT